GTAAGAGGAATTCTTCCTTCGCAGTCTCAGGGCCTCGCCCTGTGTCCTTGCCAGTGGGTACCCGGTGCTCCTTCGCTGGAGGCAAAACCATCACAGCTTGAAGATGACTATTCATCTTCATGCCTACAATGCCTAGTTTATGGTACGTGGAGTTTTACCTCCACTCGACCATGGCGTAGTGCTTGATCAAGGATGAAGAAATTTGTATAAAGTGTGATGCTGAAAACCTTTCGGTTTACAAATCCAATAGTAAGCTGCATAAGAGCTTTATTTTACAGTTAAATAAGTATGAGGACTAAATGGCCAGAATTGTTCCTGAAAAAAAGCATTAATATACGTACTAATTACTGAATGCTCAACAGTATGAAATTCTTCAGTGTCCCCAGCTACATATAAACTTGAACCTAAAAATAGGGACGTTTCGGGACCAAAGTGTGTTTGTGTCTTTTACTTCTGTATGGTCATGCAACATGTTCTCAGTATTAAGAAAGGCGATATTTAATCACTCTATGTTTCTTATCGGAATGCTAAGTAAGAAAAATTTTAATATTTCAAATGTACATTGACGAAACGCATCATTCGGCACGGGATTTGGTGTACCTAGTTTTACAAAATATTATCGTAATTAGGAAAATGTCTGTTCAGTTGAAGATTTCTGTCTTCTGGGTCAGTTCTTTCTGTGTACAGCTGTTGATATTTTCAAGTGTGTAAAATAAGCTCGATAAACGCCGTTTCGATTGTTGTTATTTACGGACCTCTGAAACGTCGGTAAACGTCTACCAGACTACATGGCGCAACAATCCAGAACAGCCATCTTCATCTCGTAACTTGTTTGAATCTTTGGTGATCAGTGTTGTTTTTGTGATTAAATTCTTGTAAAAGGCAGAGCACGTTTTTAATATTGGCTTGACATCTTTTATCCCCGAAGTTGTCACCTTGAAGATTATAACTAAGGACAAATAACCAGAGTTTCTCAGTGGTCTGCACGTTAATGTAACTCGATTTATGTGCCTTCACGAAAGCTGAATGTAGACGCTGTTCTTCAGATAGTAGTCACCCATTTTTCTCCCACTCATCTTTCAGTTCGTTGTTTGTAACAAGTATCAAGTAATGGTTCTTTACAGAAGGCCTGTAAGAATCTTAACAAACAAATAACAAATTTTCTTAAAAGACAAGATAAATTTCTCCTATGAATTAATACATATTTGTTTTTTTCTTACTCGAACCTTCGAAGAACGTAATTCATAGACTGCAATATACACTTTCCTAAAAGTATGATTATAGTGTACTTCGAAGCCTTTTGTTTATACCTTTAATTAAAACGCTTTATAAATAAACTTTAGTCATTCTTAAAGAAAATAATTTTTATATCTTCTTCGGATTCCTCGTATATACAAATGCTATTCTGTGGTTATTGTGTCAAGGACAGAAAACCTGAATACATTTTAGTGCATGGGATTTTATACATTTTTTTGTTGCAAAAGGCAAATATGACAGTGATGAGTTCAGGATTATCTGTCATTTTATTTAAATTGGAGCACATCCCGTATTTGTAAACAGTTGTTGAAAATAAAATAGACGATATTATTACTACGATAAATTCAAATAGAATATAGATTTATACATTACAACGTTTATAATTTATAATTGTGTGTTGATTACCAAATGAATGTGGGTTTGCTGAATCTAATAACAACTTTATATATAATAATATTAAATCCAAAAGTTAATCAAAATAAGCCTGCGACATGTTGTGATACGCTTTTCATGTATGTTCTAAGCTTAATTCAAGTTCATTTCCGAAAAGGAAATTAATGTTTTAATTTAGTCTTCGCTTAATGAAGGAGTATTTTATTGTGCAATAATTACCAAAATTTTACTGACACAAAAATTCAATTCATTTAGAGAAGGTATTGATAATATTTTATTAATCCTTGTTCAAATTGGTATTAAATTGTTTTATAAATTAATTTTGTTCATACCGATATCCTAATAATATTGAAAATATTGTGCACAAATTTTACAACATATCTCAGCTTTGTCTTTTGTCAAAATTGGCTTACCACATTATAAAGATGAGTGTCTTCTGGATTGTGTTCCAGCGCCATGTAGACTAGTGTAAGTTTAATAGACTACACGGCGCTGCAACCCAGAAGACAGTCATCTTAGGACTCGCCACGGTGAGAATTTGACATCCTACTTCGACCTACTAAAGCAGTTCATGGAACGGTCACTGACGCAGTCTTCTCACTCTGTGCCTGCTGTTTTGTTATTGTAGAACTAAAAACTTTACATTTTATGGCGTTTATACTATTTCTACCGTCTTGTTTCAAACAGTATTACTCAGTAACGGTATACATAATCATAACATGCCTGTTCTTGTTCTGACCGGAAAGAAAATGCTCCAAGTCTAAGCATAAAAATATTATGACTAGAATGTTGGAAGGACGCACATTACTTGGAGTCAGTAATCTCAATATATTGTATTAGAATGTAGCTCTCAAACATATTGTTTGCTTTTGATCTGACAAACTTTGGCGTACAGAACTTTTAAAAAACAGAAAGTTTGTGTAGCAAGAACAACATTACATATATCTCCAGTTTGTTTCAAAGTATGTTCCAGTAAAGGAAATTACATACAGAGGAAGAAGGCCATCTTCTGCGTTGTTGAGCCGTGTAGTCTGACAGTATTTTATCAACGCTTCAGAAGTGCTTGGTGCCTCCATCGTCACAGCTTGCTGCCTAAATCATTAAGGCTGAAGGTAAAGGCGGCAAGGACCTCTGAAATGTCGATAAACTTCTACCTTCACCAGACTACAATCATCTTATACACACCGCCGTTAGAACTAAAAACTCGCCTATATAGAAGTTTTTAGTAGTGATATATAATATTACGTCACGTAACATTCGAAAGAGCTTCTATATTCAACTCTAAGCTTTAATAGAATTTTAGTGCGTTATTGAATGTCAAGGCAAGTTAAGTTATTTGTATCACAGGATACAAAGTCAACACACAGATCTAAAATCTGCACAATGAAGGACATAACTACTAGTAAACGCTGATAATGTTTAAGCAAGTCATAATTTGCTTACTGTATTGGTACTCTCTCGGAGATAGCGATTTCTAACTTTACTTAGTTTTACTCTGCACAGATTCCATTTCGCAGCATTAGTTTAATTCATGAAAAATAAATGTCGTTTTGTACTTATATTAATATTATAAGAAGTATAACATTGTGTTGAGGGAATGAGCATTACTTTTTAAATTTTCCTTCGAAATAATTTATGATCAGAAGCTTTCACGGCGACGAAGTACAAGGTGGCTTAATGAAGAAAACACCAACGTTTCGAGAACCATATTCGTCCTCGTCCTCGTCCTCGTCCTCAGGGGAACCTGGTACATTGGTGTTTCTTTCGTTAAGACACCTTACATGGCTGGTAGTCCGAGAAGAATTTATTATACATGGAAATTGCATATCTTATGTGTAGGAGTGCATTAATTTACAGAGGTGAGGTACAAGCAGAGGAAAAACTCACTCACTCTATGGTGCAGGATATTCTTTGAAAAGTCGATTGTATACTCGTCTTGTCAAAGAAAATAAAACTTTATCTCTGGAACCCGAAGGTTCAAGCAGAATAAAAAACAAAAAATTGAATATTGGGAGACTTGAAATATACTTCACCTTGGGCGTATCAGCCTTCCACGAAGATAATGCACGTGGATTAGGGCCCATTACGTTATAAGCGAAGTTAGTAACACAATTTTCAATGCTGGTATTAATAATTTCTGATGCACTTTTGTTACTATTTATTTCCGTCGATTCTCTTTAGACGTTATAGCTGTTATCTTGGATGTCGAATTATGAGTTTCTGATATTCATTTTTACTCCTTTATGTCACTGATACAGCCGATATGTTGAGTCATCAGTTGCTGTTTTTCGCTTGTATAGACGTTGTTACTCTAAAATAAAAGTAACTGCTTTCCAGTAATTCTTCAATATTGGTATAATTTTTTGTAAAAATTTCTCTTTGGAAAATTATTATAGAATTTCGGTATAAAATTGGTTCCTTACACACAACGGATTAAATAGGCCAATTTATTAATTCTTTTTTACGTTAAGTAAATTTATGATCAAAGATTCGTTATTCAAGTAACAGTAACTGAATAGTTTCTAAACATGTGACTTCAAAACGCGACGTGTTAAAATAAAGTTTAATTTGCCTTTTATGTTGACAAACTATATTTCCCGTTTCTTTGTGTTATTTGAGTTCCCACAACTTGGCAAAGCGCAGGGGATATTGACTCATTAATGAAACACTTCATGCTACAATAATATGACTTAAATAAAACAGCTGATAACAGTTCGCAAAATCTTATGTTTAAAGAAGTGTTATTTGTATTTTAGATGCAGGATAATAATGTAATATAAGAGAATAATGTCACCAGATATTCTACGCATTTTCGTAGAACGCTTATGCACAAGCTGATTTATATATCAGATTTCCTTGTTTTTCTTTCTGAAGTTGGAAAAGTACGTTTTCTTCGTACGCCTTTCAGCAACATCTTGTGTCTATATCACTCTTACGGTTTGGTCTGTGTAACATAAACTAGAAACCTACCGTCTGTCAGCTTGCTGCTTGGATGTGCTGCAAGGATACTCAGCTATGATCGAAAATGGAGCATTCACGATTACTTACCGCGTATCGTAACATGTTACAGGTCCTGGCTGTTAGAAATATATGTTGGCTGAAGTGAGTCTGTGTTTGAGATCGTGGTATGAAATCATATATATATGTATATATATATATATAGTATTAATCTTTGCACCAGACTAGCATTACGGGTTAATGTTTTACTTATTGCCAATTGATTACATATTATATTTACAAAATTATTGAAGTCTTGTGTGACTATATTATTTTTCATTTAAATTATTCAGAAATACACCACATTAGAGGTGGTTCAAAAACGGACTATAAGAAAACTATAATACAATACGCACAACTGCAAATTGGCTTTTATTTGGCTTAAGTGTGTGTGGAATTGAGGGTTTCCGTAAAGAAAATTTGGATCTAAGAAAAATGTAATAAGGAAAAAGTGAAAGTGCTCACAGGTTATACACAGACACTTTAAGGTTAGAGCTTTCTTAAACAGTTAACAGTTCAGTCAGTGCTGTAAAGAAAACAACATTTACCATGACAAAGATTAAGTGGTTAATAATGTGTAAGGAAAAAAGTGTTTACATTGGAAATATGTGAAGCCCATGAGTACAAAATACATAGTATATTGTGGAGCATATAGTTAACATTATGCCTTGGAAGGCTAAACCTAATATTTTAATAATTCTCTTTGATGTAAGACTATCAAGTATATACAAAAGTTTGTTCCTTAGATGTCGTGGAAAACTAGCTTTTGCGGTACCTCTACACGGATTAATAATATAAAATCGTTATTTTATAAAGAGGTTGTGGCAATATAAAATGGAATATAATGATTCAGGATAGGAACTAAACACGTGCTGCTGTGATTCCAGTGTCAGCTACAGTGGCTATATTATAACATGTTAGACAAATATTATTTCTACCGCCACGAACCCGATCACTTAGTTTTTACTTTGTTGTTAAATGTATGAGTTACTGCTGATGCCACATTTTGTTCCTTTTGGTAGAATTCGTCATGTGTGAACGGTATGCTTCGCTGTGTACTATACAGCATTACCTATAATTGTTGGCTTCAGTTTCATAGAATTTCAATAACACATTTGAGCAGGCGATCCATTGTTAGCTTATGAAGGAGCTCTGTCTCTTGTAGTTACTGCCAATCTTAAAAGAGATACAAAATCATTATTTAGTATATAACTTTTAGATCTTTTATGAGATTTTTATTAAAGATGGCTGTTTTCAAGTTTGTCGCGCCGTGTAATCTGGTAGACGTTTACGGTGTTTAAGAGGTATTTGCTGCCTTCATCATCAGGGCGATCGTCCTGATGAAAAAAACAGCCATCTTAGGACTCACCGCCATGAAAACCTAAAATCCTACTTAATTTTATCAGGCTTGATTCGGAGAGACAAGTAAGGTCTTGAATGTACTTATGTATGTTGTGTACTACAACAGAAATATTTTATTTATTTATCTGCTTATTTTATTTATATTTCACTTAACGAAGGTTTCAGTATCACATTATATAGCGTCGGATGACGGGATGATCAGTAATGATGTGGATAGAAGCTGCCATGGAATAATTTCAATTATTGTCCAGGCATTTACCTGAAAGTCTGAGAAAAAGTACGAAAACCGCAGTCAGAATAGCCGGTCTCCAGGCCAAGGTTTCGAACTGAGACGAACAGTAGAGTTAACCACTCAACTATGACGTTCGGAAGCCGTGAAAATAATAACAGAAAAAACTGAATTAAACTGAATAGAGAAGAGATGTCGGTCTGTTTACATCCATAAAATTCAGAACTGTGTATTTTAATGTGATTATTAGTCTCTGAATCTATTTTACGCTATAGAGTGAAGTGGTTCTGCGTATAACAGTCTGTAGCCTCTTTCTTCGTGTCTATGATAAGCTGATGTATTGTCCCAATTTTTCTAGCATCTGTCGAATGCAGAAATTATTATTAATAGGTGATCGTTCACGTCGAAATCCACACTGATGATCCCCAATTATTTTGTCTACTTATGGCGTTAAAGTTGATGGAATAATGTGGATAGGCCCAACAATTTTGTATGAAGCTGATAACATCGATATTACTCGACAAGTATTATAACCAGTTTTATCATCCTTTCCATAAATAAATATAATAACAAATTGTTTCTGCTGCTCTGATAGTTCTTCCTTATTTTAAATAAGTTTAATAATTTTGTGGATCCCAGACCGCAATGTAGCCGTCTGATGTATCTCCTGCTTAGATAAATTCTGTCGAAATATTATTAGTGTCTGGTGATTTATAAATTTCAGAATTTACATTCACATCCAAGACCTCAAGAAAGCTACACTCGGGTAGCAGCTGATGGCACAGCTCCTTATATTGTACTCTGCATAACAGCATTAACGCCATCCTTATTTAATAGCTGGCAAATTCCGTACTAATCAGTTACAAAGTTTGATTGGTTAACACAGTTTCGCGAAATAATGTCTGTTTACTTTGAGAAGCAGACAAAACACATTCATACAACCCTTGATCATAATGCTCTTTGAATGTCAAATTACGTGGTACATAATGTAGCACCTGTGATTTAAAGGGTAAAGATGTTTTTAATTGCAGTGATAATTCTGGACATCATAAATGATAAATTTACCACGTTGCCGTATGATTTAACAAGTAGTGGTTTATTTTAATTACTGGAAAACATGGACGACAGTTGCCTATAATTCCTTAGATGGTTTCCTGAGATGACTGAGGAAAATCATTTACAGCAAATATCGATAAAACTTAAATCACTTGGAAGGGCAACATGGGATCCACATTTTTAACCAAGTGACTGTACTGCTCAGTGTACAGGAGACATGTAAGAACATCTCTGCCCTACCTTACATTCGGCTTGTGTTTCAACGCAAAGTTTTAAACCCATATAAAACGTAGCATCATTGGAAAACGGCATACACCGCGCAAATATCCAAGCGTGGTCGATGACAGTCGGAACCCGCAATGCTAATGCGGAACTGGAAAAGTTTTTGTATGAACACTTGGCTACAGGCGTACATTCTGCATGCCACACTGCCTCTGTCCTCTGTTCCTCTTAAATATAAGGCCCCTAGAAAGGGGGCACCTGGCTCCTTTCCATCAGTTACTAATATTACCGCCGAACCTCAGTTTCATTTGCATAAACTTTTGTAATTACAGTCATCATAAAATTGAATTAGGAATTTAATTTGGTTATTTGGATCCAAAGTTGCAACTTAGGCACGTGGTCGACTTCAGAATTTGAACTCCGTAACGTATATTATATTTCCCCATCGTCACTAACTTGTTTCACAGGCTGCTACAAATGTTAATGTAATATTATTCTCTACATATTGCTTACGTCAGGGCGTACAATTTTATTTCAAATCTTATTTACTTCAAAACGTAATTTAAATGTTTCTACACAATATATTATGGGGTGAATTTTTAACGCCAGTATTCATAGCTTTGTATGACATTTATGTCCATATATCAAAACGTTTTGCGCATAATATGTCTCCGTTGTGCATGACTGACCACGCTTTCAGTAATTATGTAGATGGCAGTATGATCTATTTGAAAAATACTGCTATCATGAGGCAGCCTTTGGAAGTAGCCTATTTATAATGCTGGTGCCTAGAATACTAAATACGTAATTTCTGACCTTTTTAATTGTCTTTGTAAGATCAGAAGAATTGAACACAAAAATGGAAGGAAATAATATACTGGTACGAATGGGGTAAATGAGAGAAATAAGGAGTAATTAATAAAGATACTACAGATATTATCTCTCACTGAATGTCAACGGACGTTTCCACTTTTTCGTTTGTACGATTAATGGATTAATGATCCGGTTTATGTTCAATTTTACGAACAACCTATGTTTAACAAACAAATCAATATTGCTTTTACAGAACTGAGAACTAATTTAACGTACCTGGAACATTAAACATTCAAGTTCCTGAAATGAAAATATAAATTCATTAAAATATAATTTAGAGGCAGCTGTTTATGACGACATAAAATTTAAAACTCAGGTTTTTTGTGTATTTTCAAAGGAGTAGGCAGCAACCATTAGTTCTTAATTAGTAGGAATATTGTGTGTAAAAATTACAGACTCTTGTATCTATTACAGAATTTGTAATGCTAAAATAGAGTATACTGTACACTCGACAGCACATGTTTTTTTTCAATGTTATCGAATCTTATGCAGTGGATTTTGAATTCTCCACGTAACCCGCTTGGAAACGTAACCAAATCAGATATTCCTATTGTGAATAGAAACGTTAATCAAGGAAGTTCATTTGTACATTTCCACGGTTCTGAACGACATAGTGGACGTGGATGCTTATGTTACTTGGTTGTTTCTTTAGGTTACTTAACGACATTTATTCAAGTGATGACGTTCAGTAGAATCAAGTTAAAGACAATCATGATTGGTGAATATATTGGGATTTCTAAGGAGGCCGTTGTGATCTGTTTTAAGAAATTACAGGGCGTTTAGAAATATTCTATACAGTAGAGAACAAAACAATTATTTATATTTGTTTACAAAAAGTGTTAGAAATAATATTGTGTAACATGTATGAACACTTCATAACAGCCATTTATCTGAGCTAAAAACTTAAACAAAAATAATCACGTAGCCAGTCTCTGTAAGATGTAGACCTGCAGCTACTTTTACCGTATGGAGACTTTCTGAACACCCTGTTTATCCACATTCTCCTGAAGACACAAAGGAGAAACACGAACTTTCTTAATACGGATAACAGACTCGAAGCATGTATCTCCCGAATGCAAGCCTGCAGCTTTATCACATGCAGATGACTACAGTAATGCTGAAATGTGCTTTCGCTAGGTAGGCGCAAAGACAAATTTACCAACTTTCTGATAGTGGGTTCCGAATATCGGATATTGCTAATATTCACCTTAATGTTATCCTTCACCATGATGAGGTTCCCCACCAAAACCAGTAGTGGAACCAGACAGATGTCAATTATTGATCAATTTACATCTAACTTCAGTACCTGCAGTTTTTATCAGGATCTTATATTACTGAATTCACCAAGTTGAATGAATTCTCGAATCCGTTCCCATATGTCATTTTTGCAGTCCTTCAAGCGATAGGTAGTCCAGTCAACTGGGACTAGGAAACTTTTCGCAGAGCTTTGTCGTAAGCCATTTACTTCAGACAACAGTGGGACAGAAATATGAGAAAGGGAACAAATAACGTGAAGACAATGTAAATAATGGCAAAACTTAGCTGGACGGAAGACAATTTACTTTACTCTAGGGACAGTAAACGCTGTAAGAAAAACATACTTTTTATTAATAAGAAGTCCATTTAGAAAAAGGGTATGTCCGAGATTACGTTACTACTGTTTCGTTCATTTCTTTAAGTAAATGTGTCGTGTTTTATGCTTAACTTACGTCTTTATGAAGAATAAGATCATCAAAATTTGGTATTAACGTAAATTTTAAAATTTATATATTATTATATTCTATCTTATTTCTTGAGCCCATGAAAATACCGACTAGAATCTCTGCGTTTCTGTGCAATCGAATTACATAAAATCTTCAAACATAAAGATTGTGTTATTCGGGAACAAAAATTATGACAATAATATAGTAACAGACATGAGTTATTTGATAATGACAACAATAGCAGATAATTATGTTATAACTTTAATGAATGTCTAACTTTTAAGATCATACAAAGAACCAGTACAGGGTAGAACTTCAAAGAAATGGATCAGAGTAGGTTATGAAGGTAATAAAAATTAAAAACTACTACTTGTTCTCATAAGTAAGCAAATCATTGTTTGATTATTGAGAGGTTCTGATGTATTTCTTTATTTTAACGCTCCTAAAGTACGATTTAATGTCAGTAATATGGTAATAAATAAACAAGATTATGAGTGGTATGTGAGAAGTATGCTGTAACTTTCTGTGTTTGGCTGTAATTATAAACACAAACTATAACGTTCTTCATAATTTTGTGTGAGAAACGTCTAGGTTTTCTGTTATTAAAGAAATTCTTAGAGCAAATATATTGCAAAATTGCTTTGAGTGCACAATAAATATATAGATATTGCAAAATTGCTTTGAGTGCACAACGATTATTTTTTCAAGCATCAATGACAGTAGGCCTTTGTAATGGAGACGTTTATCATTTTCATCCAGTAAGAATTTAATCTTTAATTATTTATTCGAGGATTAAACAAGTAGCATTATCGCGAAGTCTACTCCCTTAGGATGAAATGAGAATTTAATCTAAATATAAGATATCCTATTCACAGACATTATTGGGCTTGATATATGTAGAAGCCTGCACATTATATTTACTGCGAGATTAATTTTGAAAATGGTGGTTAATTTTCTGTGAATTAACCAACATCATATAAGTATTTTCGCGGCGAAGAACTCTAAAGAAAGTATATCATTAGTAATAAGAACGTGGCAGTGTATTATATCTGGAACTCTGAAGGAAGGAGTCTCTGAACCTGGTCACTACCCGTACTCTTCTCTGTTTTCAAATACTTAATTATTTAACATATTGAGTCTAAATGCCCATATTCCGATATACCAAGTCTACAATTTATGAGGCTGCGGTCGTGCTTGCATTGTGTGGTCGGCCGGCGCTCTGTTGATGTGGGCGGGAGTTGTGCGCGTTCTTTCGATGGGTGACCGGCGAATCAGTTTCAGTGCCGCTAGCAAGAGCGAACCACGAATATTTCTCGTCACTAATACATGTTATTACATTAATAATGCGGATAAATTGTAAATGTTATGTAAATTTAATACTTAGACCCTTTTTTCAAGAAATGGCCGTTGAAGAAAAGACTTACGGTTTCTTCATGCAAGGCAGTGCTACAGCTCACACAGCTGATCGGTCGATGTTAGCATTAAGAGAAGTGTTTCGTGAACAAGTTATCGATCAGTGGCCTCCGCGTTCCCCAGACTTAAACCCGTGCGACTTTTACCTGTGGGGCATGCTGAAGAACAAAGTTTATGTAAACAATCCGCACACTGCAGAAGCACTTAAAGAAAATATTAGACAATTGATTTCGGCAATTTCCCAAGAAGAGCTTCGTCGAGTATTTCGAAACATGTTAACGAGATGTGAAGCTTGCCTACAAGCACAAGGAAGTCACTTTGAACATCTTTTGTGATTTAAGGTAAGAACAATTAGTGTAATAACATGTATCAGAGACGAGAAATATTCGTAGTTCGCTGTTACTAGCGGCACTGAAACTGATTCGCCGGTCACCCACCGGAAGAACGCGCACGACTCCCGCCGACATCAACAGAGCGCCGTCCGACCACGCAATGCAAGCACGACCGCAGCCTCATAAATTGTAGACCCGGTATTAACTCACTCCATGTAACAGTCCCTATTGAAAAGCTAATATTACTCTCAGGTAGCCAAGGCATTCCCCGCCTTCTATGTAATTGGAATGCCCATTACCGTAATCACAAGAGCCAGCCATTGACACCGTCAATTATGTTGACTTCCACCACAAATTCTGTCGAGAAGATAAGATGCGACTGATACTAGTTTTCACTTCTTTGTCCTGGATACTAGCTGGAGTTGTAACGCACTGTCTTGAGCTGCAAGTCGTATAGTCTGAAAAGCAGAAATATTATTCAGCGTATAAACATAGAATATTAAATAGAATACTCTGTGCCCTGAAACTGTTATCATTTGCATTTCGTCCTTCTATGAGGAGTGAGAACAATTTGTCAACAATATTTAATCCTGTTCTTATATGCATATTATTGACCTTTATGTGGGGCGGAAGAGAACGATATTCACATACTATTAAAGTGTACGGAAACCGGGAGGTGGAGGGAACGGCTCCTGAGGAACAAGTGGTTCACCGTTGGTGAAGACTTGGCCTTCAAGAAAATTTTAAGCACTACGAATGACACGGAGGTCAGGGATGTAGGGAACTTCCTGTTCTATAAAGTAAGATTTAAAAGACAGGTCAAAATTAGGAATTTAGAACTGCCACTGGGATAGAAGGCACGGGGGCAATAAGAAATAGTTATGTAAATAGTATTAGAGATTAAGGTGTAGTAAGAAGTAGTGCTAGTGCTACATATGTAAGGACTGTGGCCGTGAAAACCTGGTGTTAGGCGGCCACAGATCTCTGTATATAGTTCTGAATCAATTATATTATATTATACTAAATGCATATTATATAATACCGGTTCATTTTAGTGCTTATGTAAGAAGGGATTAGGTCAGTACAAACTATGGGAACAAGGACTGATGAGAATATTTGGATCCAAGAGAGAACATTAACATGGGATATAATATTAAAATGTATCATATAAGAATAGGATGGTAGAGGTAGACGCAATTTAACTGCCTGTGGCGGATTCTTGGGAACACGGCTTCTGAAGAAGGACTCTGCATTATGGAGTTGAATATAATTTAGTATTTACAAACACATCTAATGCGATGTTATTCATGGGTTTAAAGAATCAGGAAGTTAAGAACCAAATCAACATCTTCATAACATTTTGTGGTTGATGCATTATGATACATTTAAAAAAATTGTTTGCGAACGAACCTACAAATCGAATTTTTACTAAATTTGAAACATATTATGTACTCAGTGTGGTGAACCGAGACCCTTCTACTACGATGTGAAATTATGCATTAGAAACTGGATTAAAATTACTTTTTCAATTTCAAACCTTACAGAAACTCGTAACATATGAACACAGACCACGAAATCTGATTAATATTTTGTTAAATTCTGTAATCTTAAACAACGGCGTTACAGAACTTATCCAAGTTAACTTAAAGTTGTCTGTTCTGCATATGTTACTTTCATTTGTGCTTTGAACAAACTGTATTGATATACCGGCTCTTCAGAGTCTCAGATATCTCAGGTTAACTCTCAGACATTGTATCTTCTAAGAGACAAATATCGTAATGTCCAGAGAAAATCTATATCCAGTAGTCACTACCTGTAGTAACATTTTGTTACTTACAGCAGCCACTAAGTCACGTTTGGTAAAAATGACGACCAGACTACAGATTCTCCGCATCCAAGCTTAAGAAAGTGGTCGAATTTTCTATGGCACCAGAAGATCGCGTTTCATGCCTGTTGATTTGTGTTGTTTTCCGAAGTCACGTAATAAATCTGTGCTATTGCCTAAGAGGCAAACAACGAATACTTGTTTCAGAACCAGTTCTCAACGAGTTCTTTCAATTTCTGCTATTGCTTGCTTCAGAAATTCCACTAGTACTCTAAATCATCAAAATTTAAATACGAAATTAACTTCCTTTTGTGTTTATTCATTATTTTTTCGCCTTCTCCTGTCCCCTTATGTTATCGTTGTAGTCGTGGCAAATTTCATAGAACAACAGCTTTTTATGTGGCCTCGTTTCAGCCTAAGTGATCAGAATAGCTCGAAAATGTTCATAGGAAAAAATGAAGTCACGTGATCATAGAAAGAGGGGTAGGAGCGGAAGAACAGGAACGCAGCCCTGTCCTGAAGATGAAGGCAGTATATTTATCCGAAACGTTGCCATCGACCTACAAGTCCACGTTGTCTCCCGACCCAGAAGAAGATCGTGGAAATCTTCACCGCCGTCTGAACCCCAAATCTCTCAAGTGTAGTCACAAGTGATCAGAAGGAGAAAGTATTCTACATTTAGACTAGTGCACATATTATAATATATTTAAAACGTGAATCAAGATGGATATGTCGTTTGCATGGAAGTACGTTGAATAGATTTTGTAAATCTTAATCCGGCATGCTTAACGTCATTACCTTATGAGATAGGCCTGTTATGATTCGTCTCAGAAGAAACAAGGCAGCGAAAATCTTTAACAGGATTGAATCTCTGGAGTAAAAGGATGGACGCAGTTTCGATCCGTCAGGTTCAAACATTGCCCATAACTTGTAATGGCATTGGAACAAATATGATTCCGCTATGAATTTAATAGAGCGGCATTGAAACCTAGACTCTGGCGGTCGCTTGCGCTAGGACTGGAATGCGTGAGGGTAGGGGAGACGCAGGCTAAAAATAAGTATTAGCACTCAACGTAAATTACGACCTCTGCAATCAGTACTTCAAAGAGTGGAAAACACTGTGCAATTTCCGAAGCTAAGGCTGTGACGTAAAACGGAAAGGACAACTTCGCCAACTGTTGCTATAATTTATTATTACTCTCTGTCACTCATATCTTGTGACCTCTGAGCTGTAGTCTTTTTTGTTTATGACGACAGTCACAATGAAATACACAACCCAACAACGTCACTAACAAAACTGAATCCGTGTATCATTGTGTGTTCTAATCAAACAAGATATCTGCTGACACATGTTCTTCTAATACCCATATATTTAGTAGATTTACAGCTTTGGCTCTTGAACAAAATAAATATTTCACTTTTATTCACTTCAGCTTATCAGGGTTTGAGACAAGCACGACCAGGAGGCCATACAGATTAGGCTTTTGAATATCGTTTCCTTCTGGGTTGTTCTGCTATATAGCGTTTTGTTTGGGGCAGCAAATACCTCTGAAACGTCGGTAAACTTCTACCAGGATACACTACGCATCAGCCCAGAAGAGAGTCGTATTCATATTTGTCGCTGTGAGGACGTCAGGTCTTTGTGAATCCTAAAGAAGAAAGTAGAGAAACTTCGGAAACGTTCATTTCTTACCCTTCCCATTTCAGTGTGCGAATCATTCTTACCCATGCTATAAAACCTATGGAGTTGGTACAGCGACTTACCCAGCAGCTGGAAAGAATTTACAGGAAGAAGACTGTAAGTTACTCGTATACGTTCTGTGCCATGCATTTGGTTTATGTCAGGAAGAGACGTGGATGTTCGGGCAACGCCGTGGAACTCAGTCAGTCCTCCTTGTTTCTCTTCTTGAATATCTGTTTTATGCTTTTCTGACTCTTTTCCCTCATCCAACGAAATGAGGTGACACAGACTGTATTTTAAGAAATTGTCCTTTCGTCTCTTTTCTTATATATTTTCATCATTTATGTTATTCCTCTCTTGATATTCTCTCCTACTTTCTTTTTCTTTCATTCGTCTCGTTCTTTTCGCTATGGAATGGAAGAAGGAAAAAATCTGTTTCAGTGATGCCGAGTTTCTGAGCAGAATCCAGGCTTAACCTCTTTTCATCTTCCGTGATAGCTGCTACAAATAACACGTTTTCCCGTTCTTTGCACATGTAAGCGTGGCCGGAATAGTGTAGTACAGTACGCGCAGAAACAATCTAAGTTATAACCGGGACAATCTTTGAATTTTTTAAAACATATGGCTTAAACTACGTTCATTTCCCCTGAGGACACACCGAAAATCTTTTATATTAAACCTAGCTGTGACGGAATGCTGTTGAGATGCTATTTAGTGTGATGTTACAACAAAATAAACAAATACTTCAGTTTGATTCTATAAATAATTTCCAGTGTGGCTAACTATGCGTGTTAAGAGTTCTATATTACAACTTACATAATTTACAGGTGTTAAAAGCAGCAATACTGAGGACAATTTCAAATCAAACCAGATTCAATGCCGTGAAACTTAACAAAGATTTTACATCCTTTAAGCTAGTACAGTACTCCATGCTTCTTTTAGTAGTTTCTAAATATTACAACTCTTTAACAAATTTTTAGGTAAGGAATTTTACTGTTTTTCTGTAGTAATTAAAGTAACTGTTTATGTTTAGAAGATACGATTTTTACCAGTTGACAAATTCAAATAAATGTTTCCGATGTGCTTCTTTAATGTTTTATTGCTTAACCATTGTGTAAACAACTCAAAAGGCCACTACGAAATAAGCAGATTTTTCTTTGCCGAGGAAAACCAACATCACATTTTTCTTTGTATTTCAAAGTACGTACTGTTGTGACCCAAATTAAGAATGCGCCTTCTAATTACAACAATAATTTATGTTTGTATCACTTGAGGTGCTCACAGAGTTCGAATAAAGTGTAATATAATATTGTTGTGACATATTCAGACTGAAATAATCGAGTTTATGAAACTTAAATATAAATAATATTAAAGATATAACACTTGTAAAAGATTTCTGATTGCAAACTAGGTACAGAATAAAATCCCATATCAAGTAAAAGTACAGTAAAGTAAAGTTGTCTTTGGTGCTTTTGGAGTGGAGGTAAAGCTACACGCATTCTTAAACTCAGCATTAGAAGTAGGTGAGTTGTTAGCTTCACATTCCGGTCGATTTATACCACGGAAAGAACGTTGTTCTTTTTGAATACAAGGCTGAAAGGGGAAGCCAGAGCTGGTTTGGATTTTGTCTAGATTCTAATCTCAAATTCGAAATGAAATGAAACTTAAAGTGAAGGTAAAGTATCTTTTAGTTGAGGTTTGTCTTTACATCTGTAAACTGTGGCCTTTACAACTCTGCTCTGCAAATAACAAATTCGAAGTTGATCTTAAGTCACAACCGATGGCTGTGATGTAATATACTTCATATAGGCGGTGGTAGATGGCAACATGGATGATTACTGAATCATGGGTAATAACGACATCTCTAGGTTCATCCTCTCTCCTTACAAGTTTGGGCATCCGTCAGGTAGATAAGAATGATTGTTAAAAAATAAAGAATACGATTTTATCTAGACTGCATTGGCATATCCCAGATATCAAATTTAATGATAATCTATTAAGCCTTTATCGGTGTAGACATCACGGGCAATGATGTCATCGCTGGTCATGAAGTAATTCAACTGAAATTTTGAGTATGTCACAATAATATTACCGAGCAGTGGAAATTGGGAAGTATGTACATGTTCGGATCCGTTCAGCCGTTCTCGAGTTACATGTTTGTGGGTACGATGGGGCAATTAAGTCATAGATGATAGAAAAGTTATCAGTCTTTCCAAAAGAACGTGGAAGATAGCATCGTGACGGAAAATCATCCTTCATTTTTCTTGGTTGAGCATGTGTCACGTTTGTTTTAATTATTAGTGGCCTCCATACCAAATTTCGTGAATAACGTTCAGCAATTTTCAAGCAGAATGTTAAGTTCAAAGACCAGCGATGGAAGGCAGCACGATGTCTTTGCCTGAAAGACGAGCAGATAGATGGATAGAACAAGCCCATAAGGTTCAAGCAGCTTAAACTAAAGCACAAAATTTTCACAGATTTCACTGTGGCTTAATATTCGTCCCTCTTCTTCAATATTACATTGCAATGCTGCGGCTGATAAAAGTAAAACCAAAATTATTAAAATTTGCAACAAATTATGAGGCTCTTTAATGAGTAATTTTCACCATATTCATATTATTTACACTCTCTTGGGTTCAAATAAATTCCTGGGCACTTTGTTTCAATCAACTTCATTCTGCATTATTTCCTGAAGGTGAGACCAAGTTTCACACCATTAAGTCATAAAATAAGAGGTTCCGCTATGTCAGCATATTTTAATCTTTAGACGACCAAACATCGTATTCGGAAGATCTCGGGTTGTTCAATCATCAGTCCATAGACCGTTTATCCTGAATTAGCTATTATTAATCATCCTATCATTCGTCGTTATAATTATGAGCTACTGATAGCGTTGTTAAATAAACTACAATTACCGTCATTAATCATCAGGCTCCAGGTAGGAAAATCGAGCCGAAGCACTCTCCTGTTACCTTCTTATCTTCATCAAAATTAGTTGCTAGTGGTAGGTAGACATCAGAGACCCAGTGACTTGTAGTTCATTGGTTTGTAATTTCATATTTTAGACTGAATAATTTCAATTTGAAGGGTGGATAAACTTTGTGTGAACTTGAAAAAGCTGGGGAAGGCATTGAACTTTTCTGCTGGGTCAGAGAAATATTTATTCGTAACTCGAGTGTACTAGGCCTGTATTTTTTTTCCATTCACAGTATATTAAGCTTTGTGACTATTTATTTCCATTTGGCAAATTTTATTTCGAGGGCTGCATGCGACCCGCGAGTCTTACTATATATGAACGTGTTCTAGTGACACGGTATGCACTTTAAGGTACTGTGTGTAATTTACGGAACGTTATTATCCTTTTTATATCTTAATTGCGTCATGTTTGTGTTATATCAATACATATATTTATTTTTCCAGTCTATACACAAAACTGTTTTAAATTAATGTTGTTAAAATTATTTATAACATTTACAATATAAATTGCATTATGTTATATTTTATGGCGCCATAAAATATAACATAATGCAATTTATATTGTAAATGTTATAAATAATTTTAACAACATTAATTTAAAACAGTTTTGTGTATAGACTGGAAAAATAAATATATGTATTGTTATTATCCTTATTAAATGTGGCAACCTTTGCATAATGAATAATAAATTAATAAAACTGTTTTCCACAATGCAGAATATTATGATATTATTTAATTAGAGAATTAGACATTGATAGCTGTGGACAAAATGCGGTTTTAATTTTAAAGAACGCATTATCACCCGACCTTATTTTTTCGAGTAAGAAGGCTGCGGCAGATAACATTACTTTGCAGGAGAAAATTGTGTTTTCTCAGAATGTTTATACCAGTCCCAATTTGTTCTTGTAATATTCATTGAAAAATTAAATTCACAGATTTTCATCTCACAGCTCGCCCTCAAGTTTACTGAATCAGTATATGCAGTTGGTTTTGGTACAAGGTTTATATCTACAAGAATCCAATGTCTTCCTGTTGTGTATGTTGAGCTTTATAAAAACAAGAAAAATCCACACAATATGAGAGATAAACAGCCTTGGAACGAGAGAAACTTTCATGGTCTTATTATGGCCGCGTGTTGTGTCTGTCTTACTGTTTTCCTCTCTCATTTTCTGCGTGTATTTTATTTATTTTTTGCTGCCTGAAATACATGAAAACAACACCTCATGTTGATACACCACCTGCCTACCCCCACTCTAAATATAGGGTGTTTCAAGAAACCCTATTTGTAGACATGTACTGCGTGCAGTGTATAATCAATACTGCCCATAAATGTCTGTTTCTTTTAACCAACAGACCTATATAGAATATTTGTGTCTTATAAGAAATATTGTTAGGAATGTCGAGAAAAATACGTACAATATATGTTGACAGTGAAAATCTTTACAGGATGTTTATGAAAAACTGCCACGGAAACTCTAAACTCAGAAGGAAAATGCACAGAATTTACGATTATTCCAGCTTGAATTTTAGTGACCACGACTGGATAGCTATGAGCCTACATAGATTCAGGTCGTACCATAGGTCAGGCGGCTAGACGCCATCGGACTTCGCTTCCTGCTAATTACTTGTATATTAAGATTCTTCATGATAAGAGCCTCCGCATGAACTCATAAAAGAGTAATATTTATTTCTAAACAATTATTCATATTTTCCCTAAGTTATGCATGCCAAATACTGTAAAGTTTTTGACTCACACGTATGAAATTTCTCGTTCCTAACACAAAAGTTTAATTTCAGAGACGTGAAAGAATGATCTGTTTTTCCCATGGTTTATCACTCACGAATTCTATTTCATATTAGGACATTATCTTTCTAAACCTGAAGGTAAAGGAGCATTGGGAGATCTAGGCGTAAATGAGAGGATAACATTAAAATTGAACTTGCAGAGGAAGAGTGTTATAACCGTAATAAATCTTCAGATTCGACAACAAGCTGGGAATTTCTTGGCCCTTTAATTATATATTACCTTCTGAAGAAGAAATCTGCTCCCTGGAGTTACTTTAGTTGATACGTGAGATTGCACATATCGCTCTGATGATGGAAGCAGAAAGCAGCTCTGAGACATCGTTGAACTTAACCAGATTACAGCGCAACAACCCAGAAGACAGACACCTTCATTTTACACAGTTCTTGTTCAGGGTAAATTGCCAATTGTTTCAATTTTTTTGTATTATAGACTTCCGCAGAACAACAGTTAGACGCTGTTACTTTGTTTCATATAACAAAAGGTATTCGAAGTAATGACCCATCTTCCGTTCTGTCTTTCGCCCTTTCTTCCATCATCTTTTGCCTTATTTCGTACCTTCATTTCTGAACTTGACTGTATTCCATTACAATTTTTATGCGTTTTTCTTTGCACGAAATGGATGATGGAAGAAATGCACGAAAGCCCATCCATGTTTGCCTACCTATCCCTCCGTCTACTTTTCCGCAGGAGTCAACTTGGTAACCATGGTAACCATGCTGAGCAAGGTGAACGTAAGGTAATGACGGTAATCAAGTTGACCGTAAGGTAACGATGGTTACCAAGGTGGCCAAAGAATCTACAAAAACCAAGTTTACCATTGTAATCTTGTAACCAATGTAGACATCGGAACCATTCTAAACCATGATGGTCTTGGTGAACAAAGTAAGAGTACATTTTGCAAAGATCTTCATTAATTTTCTTCGTTATTTGGAAATAAGTAATTATTTCCAAATAACGAAGAAAATAAGAACATCTGCTATGCATTGCATAGGCTCCGGGTTCAAACCTCGGTTTGGATATATATCTGCACTAACATAGTAGGGTTTCTGCGTGATTTTCCGCAGTTACCACATGCAGCCGCTCGTCTAGCACATTTCAGTACGCTACAACAGCTTTCTCATAACCCTGCCCATATAATTATTTCATGCTACGTAATGTACGCCTAACAAACTACCACAAACTACAAGGAGTTGTTTAAAAAACTCCGCTCCTACTTTCACTGTAAATCCATACAATTTACGATCCTGCATGTTTATGTAAGAAGCTGCAGAAGTCCACTTGATGATGACCAAATAAGGCACAGCTGTCCCCGGTGCTTAATTAGGTAACATGCCATGAAGAGGTATATTGGAGTACAGGCAGAGCTTCACGTATCTTGGTTCTAAATTTGAGTCGCCAACTTCATGAGCCGGCCGCTTTACGCCCGAGGAAATGAACCCGATAGCCACCGGACGGGAAGCTGGGTGGGCCCCATAGCCGTGCAAGACACGAAGGCAAAAAGAGAAATTTCTACCCCTGCAGGAAATTAAACACCGGTCGTCCAACCCGTAGCTTAGCAGTAGCCCTCACCGAACTGCTGAACGAGCTATAAGTCGAAACATGGAGTGAATCGCTCAAGTGGTAAAACAGCGATAAAATTTTACTCATGTTTAACGACATTGTATAGATCTAGGTGCCTTGTTTTCGTCCCGTTAGGTGTACCATAAGGTTGCATGTTTTTGTTACATAGTTCCGAAATATTTGTGACTGGAATGTACAGTTTCTTGGCTTCGAGATATTCTGTGAGGCTAACGGCGCTTTCACATAATTCCATACTTTACCTGTCGGATGTCGGTATCGATCAATACGTTTACTCGCTCCTGTATTGTTGATATAAATGTCGGTACGTCCTCTTGAATATTAATGTACGGTGCAATATTTGCCTTTATTCTTTTCAATTCAAGCACGATGGATACGAAAAGACTTCGTTTATTATACCTGTTACACCTCGGAAAACTAAAAAAGTTGCAGGAAGAATTCCCCATAAATGGTGCGTAGCCTCTGCTAACTATTCCACAGTTAACAGCCTACACTGTTTACAGAACGTAGACCGTAAAATTATCGGACCGTTCATTGCCAACCATCCGATAGCAGACATTGATATCGGCGATCGGAAAGACATTTTTGTCCGATCGGTAGCTGTACTTTTCTTTCATCTGATACCGGACAATATCGGACATTGTGCTATGACGGTGTAGGTACAACATAAATTAAGAAATTACGAAAATTTTCGTTACGACCACTTAAAGAGAACCACCAGAAAATGACTTATTAAGGCTAAACCATGTAGAGAATTTTAATAAACATTGAGACTATAATCTTAAAACTTGTTATGTACACGTATTTGCAACCTAACGAATAGTATTGTTTGCTACATCAAAAGTGCATTCCTTATCGCAATGGTATGTCACAGTGCCGTACTTTGGGAGAAAAGAATAAACTAAGTTTATTGCATCCGGTTCCTTAACATCTGACATGGTTAAATATAAATAAATTAGGTGAATTAGGAGATGCATTAAGCAGCTGCCGTGATAACATTCAATACAGCAAATATGAAAATCTAAACGAAGTTATTGAAAATACTTAATGTCTAATCGTGCAGCAGATGATATTATTAAAATGGATTTTAAAAGAACAGACTATGAAGGTGATGAATAGATTTATGAGACTCAGAAAAAGGTGTAGAAGCAAACTACTGTGAACATGGCAATGAACTTTCTGGTACCATATAATTTTTTGACCAGCTGAGTAACTGTCAGTTATCAAGAATTAGTACATGTTCCTTAAACGTGTTCTAATATGACAGAAAATTGTTTTTTATGAACTCTTACTGAAAAACTATTAGGCAGGTTTGCTGGAGGTAGAAAAGAGATAGTAAACAAAAGACAGTTGAGCGTGTCAATCAATAGAAGCTTACAGCTTTTACACAGACGTTGAGTTTGGATTATTAAAGAAGGTACAGCTAGAAGAATGACCTCTGTACGTCTGCTCCATAAGCAGTGCACTGCATGATTCCGTTAACTTTCAAGCTCTTAGGAATAATTTTACAACAAAAAAGTACCACATGAAATATTAGATCGTTGAGAATTCCTAGAAAACTTAGACCGAGACAAGCTTTTGTAATATCTCATTTCTTATTAATTGTTTTATAACGGTCCTTCTTTGTCAGCGTCACTTTGTAAAAACCATTCACTTGCCTACGACTGAGAGACTTTGAACTCTGTAGTCACTCATGTTGTTTGTAAAGAACTAATGAAATGCATAAGAGAAGGACCACACAGAACGTACCACCAGTAGCTGTATCGTAATTTACCATACGTTTTGTTTTTATTTTAACAAGAAACTCGTGAGACGCGCCGGATGCAGTGAGTTTTACAAAAAAATTCCGGCAGAAACATGCCAGACGGAAATAAATGTGTTTTATGTCAGTTTTTAATTCATCGATTGCATGTGGTCACAGTTGCATAACATGAGTACTCTCTGTATGCACTATTTCGTAGGCTAATATCATGCAAACCTGACCTACGATTTAATTTATAATGAACCCTGCCTTTATATTTTCAATTAAGCGTCATGTTCTCTTGTGAGTTAAACTACAGTCACCATTCTGAGATTTGGTAAAATTAAAACAAACGAATTATTATAATTTATGCCCACATAGTAATGTAGTCTGAATTGTGTAATAAGAATACTCGACAATAAATTTGACAGGACATACATACATATATGTAGAGGTTGTACGAGTGCACAGGCAAGTACTTATGTACCTGGTTACTCTCGCAGATTGTCAGGAAACAAACAAGTGAAAATATGTTAGTTGTTTGCTCCTGTGTTGTGAATACAACTGATATAAAGAATAGAAAATCAAGCAAATATCGTATTTACAATCTCATACATAAAGTCAGTATTAAATGTTTAGTAGTGAAGTGAGAGTGATCGAATATTATTCCATCTCTCTTTCTAAAATGGAATTATTTTATTCGTGGAATGTTCTTAAGTTGCTAATAAAAAAAAGGTGTATTTATTTGTCAAATATTTAATGCAATAATTGCATCGTGAAAATTTGTAATGAAATTGTGAGCATGTTAGTCGATGACGTATTTCCTTCTTTTCTTATTTGTCGCTGAGGGCTCGAAAGGAGACGACACTGCACTGAACAACATCCTTCGAAAATTTAATGGCTACCGTACACGTTAAAAATATAACATAAACATCTTACAAAATTACTGTATTCAACCAATGGTTCTTCATCAATTCATATTATTACATAACGTGTATAAACGTGATTTATTTGCGTTGTCTTCTTCTTTTAGATCATGTGGTCCATTCCAATTTTAAAAAAATCGGAAATAAAATTTGTTAGCATTTGGTAGGACCGTTTGGATGTAGATCGGCCGCTCACTAGTCTTATACCTGCACAGGATAACGAAGCAGTGAAGAGGACGGACACAGATTCATGCCTGAAGCAGATTTAGAACACACGATTCCAGTTTCCGAGTGATCCCACAACATCTATCTGTCCCTTATAGTACTCAGCCACTGCAGTTTGGTTATATTATATTCCGTAGCCCAAAAATTGTAATAGGTCTTTATAATGGATTACTCCTGTTTTGCATTATTCTGTAGGTTCGGGGCCCGAAGTCTGATCTCCGAGCTCCATTGCTCTGATTTATTTATGAAATCTCAAGGTTTGTTGATTTAATCGGTACCAGTTTAAAAATAATTATCATTTCCTTAAAAATGTAATCGCCAGATTACAGCAACAAAATTTATTATTTCTTTTAGACTCGAAATCTTTCAACCTTTAAAGGTTATCTCTAGGGCCATCTTTTCGTTTATTTTTATCGAAAGCCACACTTAAATTTTTATAATATTATTTTGTTATTTGTAATGTATTGAATAACACTTAAATTAATGTAACCATTTGCCTTGAAGATGCAGTAAGAACTTGTTGAAGTATTAATAAGGAGCCAGCACTTCTGCAATGTCGGTAAATGTCTACGAAATTACACCGCTCTACAACCCAGAAAACAGCCATCTTCTTAAGTGACTTACACTGAAGGTTAGCGAAGCTACGCCAGTGAGGTGGAATCTAGAGATCGAAAAATGTTAAAACCACAGTAAATTATAACACGAATTATTATTGTAATTTGACGATTATTCGCGTATATACAAACTGTATTAAAAAGTTACAAATCAGAACTTAAAAATTATCAATTTTCAGTGTTCTTTCTTCTACATTATGTAAACCTATACAAGAAAGAAAGAGTGCGAAAGGAAATACTTTGTTGCAGAATGTGTCGGAGACTTCTAAATAGATGTTTGAAGCGCCTGGCCAAAAGAGACCACATAAACTCTTTACTCGGATTCTAACACAAAACCAGTTAATCATCTTCCTGGAATTTGAATTAAAAACAACGAAGTGCTGACAAATGTTTCTGGTTCAACTTTATATACTTCTTGGAAAATTCTATACTCATATGGACATCAAAACACCCTTAAGAAATTAAAACACACTATCTTACTTTACCTTGGTAAAATAGTTTATGTCTCAGAGTTCTGAGTTTGTTTGCAATTTAGAAAAGCTTTGTCATTTACGGAGGTTACAAAACATTATGAAACCTGGCACTTAAATTGCAATTGGTAAACTGGAGATCCAAGAGGATGAAAGCCATTGCTATCTCAATGAATTTTCTATCACGTTCCTTTACAGAGCAAGAAAGTGGTAAATATAAGTTTGGAAACTTGTTATCTCACCGAAATCCAGTATTCTCTACTTAATTTAATATTTCCATTTAAAAATTATACAGGTGATATTTTAGAATTGTTTTGCTGGCCATAATTTTAGTGCATCGATTGACATTTTAAGACAGGCCTATTTGAATATGTAATATGACTATACTTAAATTAAATATGTTAAGCTGAGTTATAAGTTTGCAGTTATGTCTACAATTACAGACAGATGGGCTCTCAAAATCGCAGTCCTCTTTAGTGTTTTAGTGAGGCCCTGTTCAGTCCTAAAGTTACACACGATCTGTGGTGCCAAATGCCCTAGTGTTAATAAATTGAAGTTTTAAACGCGTGTCAAACAAGTACTTGTGTACATCTGTGTTATGTTTTTAATTCAGTAAAGTGCAGACGTGATTCACTAAAATTTGAATTTGTGTTCTTGTGGAAAGACATGAAAAAACTATGGCCTGACTTTGCTTGAGCGCGAAATTATACCTATGCTGACCCCCAGAACAGTCACCTCTACTACCTAAGCTGCCCTAAACAGACAGAAAGTTGACACACCTGATTTTTGGTTAACTAGATACACATATATCACATAACGTGACCAACTATTAATAAAAATCTGTGTGTTGGTGTATGGTTTTATAATATAGAGAGTGTAGTATTTAGAACACCAGAAATATTATAAATGATACATCTAAAATTTTACTACAATTTATTTATAGAACGTTTAGCATGGGCCTTAGCACGCAGTTTGCTTCTTTACATTGTGATCTTTGTTTTTTCAGACACTAAGTGAAAAGGTCCTAAGGCCGTAATAACAAGTTGTTGCTTACGAATAAACATAATATCCATCAAATATAAATAAGATTCAAGTAAAATAAAACTGCCATATAATTCAAATAAAAGTATTCTACAGGGCAAAAATTTCGGCATTTTGCTTTACGGGTAAGAAATGTGTATAAAGGCCTATTTTCTATAAAAATTATTTAAAATTTTAGTGTGTTAATTTATACTTAGGCTTAAAAATAATGTAAGTAAAATATAAATGTTAATTTGTGGTGCTCAATACTCATTCAAAACGTTTGATTTTGACCATAATTAAAAAGATACGAGGGTGACATGTGCTCGTTCATGTTGCATATTTTCATTATTATACGCATTGTAAGTTTAAATAAGTGTACAAAACACGTAACACTTCCACAGAAATTTTATCTCATTCGGTTTCAGAACTAATGTATACTTTTGTCATGAATTTTAAACACACGCTGCCATAATTGTCTCCGGAACATAGTTTGAACTTTATTACAGGTGTTAAAATTTTTTAGACTAAAGTGATCTCACGATATGTTTTAGATGGGTGTACAAATAATTATTTTTTAAATACAGTTCGGTAGGAAAATTCTAGTGTTTCAACGTTAAAAATAATTTAGATTTTATTTTATATATTACAGTTCCTAATTTGATATAAATATTCTTCCACTTGAAGTAGCTAAATTTGTACATTTCTTTTACATTTTATTATTATAGATGTTTGGTAAGTGTCTGCTTCTGTAAACTGTAAAGTACATCCATTATTATAGTCACGTCTGAAAATGTATTGCTAAAAAAAATGTAGATTTTTTTTTATTTTCCAAATAGGTCCTAATAGCCAGAAATTGTAATAGCTCATACCCACACATTAATGAAGATAAATTGAAGCTGAATTCTACGCAGTTTTGCAATAAAACAAATATACGACTAGTCATATTTAATTCAATAAGAATCTGTTGATACATTTATCACATTTCGAATTAAATTCATGACTTTCGTGTTGAAAGAAATATGTCTGTATTATACATGCAGGTGCATGACTATTGTTAGGAAACAAGTCATTACGTTTGTATAAATGTCATTAGTATCTAAATTTGTCTTATGTTAGGGCATACATTATCAAGTAATTGGATAATTAATATTTAATAAAATAATATTCATTATTTTTATTAACAATGTGACACTTTTTATTATATATTTGTATATTTTACCTGAAAATTATGCTGCTGATAAACGATTTCAATCTGTGACGTCAAGCTAAATGACAAACATGGCGGCAGTGCGATAGCTGAGTCGCTTTCTTCTCGGTTACTCCTGACTGGTAGGGGTTATGGATTAGCTACCAAGCATGCAGGTCGGCTGGCCGTTGTTACGGTGTGACGATACTCGCCTCTGTCCTATCATACTGCAGAATCATCTGCGCATGCGTACACAAACCTAGGGCAGGAGACAATATGTGCATGTTTATTTTTCTTTCTGCTCTTACGTGAGATAATGCAAAGGTGCGCATGCACTAGCCGCTTTGTATTCTTCATACGCACTGCCTTCATTTCGATTCTGTCTATGTTACAGCGTGGAAGTACAAAATGATCCTTGCCCAAAAATATTGAATAAATAAGTAATTAGTTTTTTACCACGGCGATTAGAACAATTCCCGATGTCCAATAATATTAATTGTAACCTAGTCAGTTTGTAGAAAGGAATATTTTACAACTATTTTTGGGTGTTGTATTTTTTAAATTGCTTTTCGTCTCAATTACACAAGTTATTCATTATTAAATTAAATAGAGAGTTTACAAAACTAGCAATAACAGTGGATAATCATACTCAGGTTCCTCAGAGCCTGTCAAGCATCTGCTGGTCCCAACTTCGTCTCCAGGTTGCAATAATAATAAGGTTAGAGTAATACATAAATTCCTCCGTGTCAAACAGTCTCACAGTCTCATTGTCAGAAGAACAATGTTCTCACACCGCAAAATTCATAAATACCCTTCGACTTCTCCCGATGTACGTACAAAGAGTCCGATTGTAGGACACTGGAGTTAAGTGCATAAGAAGGAACTTCATTTTTGGACTGTATATCAGATATTATTATGATGATCGAGTCAAGGAAGAAGACATGGGCCGAGGCATGTAGCACGCATGGGGGAGACTGTTACTTACCGAGTACCAAATGAAGTTTGCAATGATTAAGATTAGGTTATTGTTTCGACACTAATTTGCGTGTTACTTAATTTACTTGTTCGTAATGATGCATGAGGTAACAACTAAATACACAGTTAAAAACCCGACAGAATATCACTTCTTTGCCACCACCAAAATTGTGGAGTATACAAGCCTGTCTGTACTGTCTCTCGATACGTTAAAGGTGGTTTCTTATCTGAACAGTTTTTATTTCTTACTAACAATTTAATATTACACAGAGTTGTCTGTATAGCCGATGGAAAGAGAAAATGGCTGGACTTGGTAATTACCTTAATTCATTTAAATTATTATCACAAATATACTAATGTATTTAGTAGTAATTTTATTTGGGTATTAGCGTCCTCTGTAAAAATGTATTCCTATATTCTGTTTGTTGTTACCTTTCTATATTTATTACTGTGTTAGTGTGCTCATCTATTTTGCCCTATCTGTAATTGGCCTTCTGGCTGTTCATACAGCACACTAATAATAAAGAATTAGATTAAATTGAATAGGATATATATTGTCACAGATGATGGAAGAAGGCGCCAAACGGTGATGTTGCTTTACAGAGGCATTCCCTTGAAAATTACGTAGTTAGTTACTGTTAGAGAGCCTTTTTGGGCGCAGTGCGACGGTGATGTCGGGCAGAGGGGAGCTGTGTCAGGTGTGATTGTGTTAATATTAAAATATTTATTGGTACAAATAATGTGATTCATTACATATATTCTCAGTAGGCCTATTTCCAGGTCGACTGTGGGACTCTCCTAACTTTCTGTTTGAAAGGCCTGTGGATACTTTACTCCCGAGGTTAAGTTCACGGAGCATGAAGGTGACTACGGTTAGCTATCTTGGACTAAGTTACGGAACTTGGAACTTTATCTCCACCCCTCCTTGCCTATCGCGCATATCTTGGTTCTTAGGTACAACTTTCTCCTATGTTCTCAATTAAGACGGCAGGAAAATTGCACAGTACAGTGGCAATAGCAGACAAGTTTCAGAGCCTAAGTGAGTATCTACGAAGGAAGAACCATCTGTGAAAGTTATGAAGATCAAAATCGCAGAAGAAAAATGAATTTTATAACTCATGGATTTGAGATATTACTGAAAATTTGAAAATAAGTAGTGTTTATGTCTTGAATATTGTGTTTATATCACCTAATATTTCACTAGTAGCCTACAACCTAGTCATGCACATGGTAAACTACAGTTCAAATATTCTGGCCTGTATTCAGTTTGTTTCAATTTGACTCTCGTCACATTTCGTCCTGCCTAAATTCTTCCTTCTAACGGCGATCCTGATACGCAGGTCACAGTATAGTACTATGAAATCAGCTTCTACCTACTGCACCCCAAATTTTCTTTTTCACAGTTTTTCATTATATACTCAACTTATTTCATGCTAATAATTAGAGCAGTATTCATTCAATAATCAAAAAAAACTGAAGAAAATATATTAACAGGTGCCAAATGAAATTGTGTGATTTTGTTTAAATCTGTAAAACACAGTGGTATATATATATATATATATCCATTCACACACAGAAGAAGGCAAAGGCAAATCACTTCTGGATTATCTGCCAAGAACGTATATGAACAGGTCCCAGTCCGAGAAAAGGATGGAAGGATCCTGTTCATATGGACCTGTCGTCAGACAGAACACTTTAAAAAAAAAAGTGCCAGTTTATATTACATTATATCGAAAATAAGAAATAGATACTGATATAAATTAAATGTATCGATAAGTCGGTAACAACATTTTTCGTCTGTATTCGAAAATACTGAAAATTAGGATATTTCCCGTAGATATTTGGAAGAATGAAACGTATGTCGACGAATATTTCTGTAATTTAAAAGTCAACAGTTGCCAGTGTTTAAAATAGAATAACATCCTATAAGAGATTGCTAAATTGTCATTGTACTTTAATTTAAATGCTTTTGTAATTCAAATAAATGTATTTAACTATGTGCTTTTTACAATTTTAAAAGCCCTGAACTAATTAAATATTTCGATATCGTTACAAAATTCCACATTCTTTGACACCCCTAAGATTATCGCATTGCATGTGGATCATGAAGTCAAATATGGAACGTACTGTTGGATAAAGTACGTTTAATATGTCTCAAAACCTGCTGGAATGAGGACAGTTCCACCAACAACTTTATTAAACTCAAGAAGGCTAATGAAGCTCCCGTCTCCTTGGCTACATCCATCTGATTAGTCCATAAAAAGAAGTTAAACTCCACGTAACTCTAAAGTTTCATCTCTCGCCTTTTGTTCCAGGTGCACATTTACAAGTTTAGCCTACTACAGCCATGGCCACCATAGCTGTATGGAAAACAGACGGATTTTACAACGAAATGTGCCCCAGTGTAGGAAACAGCACAACTGGTGAGTTTCATGGTTCCTCTTGCTAAACTTTAAGAAGCCTTGCCCGCTGCTTCGTTGTGGCTGCTAGGTTTTTGTTTTTTATTATGCCTTAAAACTCCAGAAACAGGGAGGCATATTAACTGGATTATCTAGCCTGCTGGAATTTTGTGCTTTAAGTTCAGCTGTTTCTAGTGAATTATACTCGAATTTAGACATTTTATTTTGTCTGTCCCTTTCACCTATCTAGTTAGCGTCTCTGCCGGATATGTAAAGTGTCCATAACGAGTATCTCAAAGTTTGGCTTGCTCTGTTAAATAAAAATGGGCTGGACTTTTGGCCAGAACGTGTGGCGCAAGGACGGAATTTAGGTGGACAAACCTCTGAAAAACTGAGAAGCAAATAGGATCATAGTATTAAGATGGATCTTAAGGAAGTGAGGATGAAAAGTGAATGGAACTAGTCTAGGTTTGTGTTCAGTAGCAGGTTTTGGTGTCAGCGACACTTAAATTTTGAGTTACTATACTACGTATTAATTGTGATATCTTTGTTCAAACTGTCGTAGACTAAACAAATTTCAGAGGCGGGAGATGACTCTCTGGTGTTCCAGTCCTACCTTCTCTATTCCATCAATTCATACACAGTCCTTTACTAGTGCACATCTCTGAAAAATAGATCGTTGCATATACATATAACCAAAATATGAATTTTATCCTCAAAATATAAACAAAATATGCATTTTATCCTCAAAATATAACCAAAATATGCATTTAACTACAAATATGACCAAAAGCATAAAAATGACCAAAATATGCATTTATATGCAAAATTAAAACTGCATAATTGTGATTAGAATAACCAACTTAGTGTTTAATTTCAGTTTAGAATTAAAATAGAAGCCCCCAATAAAATATGACATGTCATGAACATCCGAACCCTACTAATAAAAGACTTTACTCTAAATTTATTGTCCGTATATTAATTATATATCCTACCCTTTCCTTTAGTTCCGAGTTCAGGAATAAGTAGGAGCTATACCTCCGCTCCCCCGAAACGACCTACATATCGTGTAACGGGGCGGCTATAGTTCTTTTTAATTTTACCATTTCCTTTAAGCAAATTCTTTTCCATTTATTTTTTACGTTATTCACAGTCTTTATTAAAACTTATGTATACACATTTCATTTGACATTTCTTAAACCTTCCCTTCCACTTTAACTTAATTACTGCTAATATAGGCCTATAACCCATAGTCGTGTCAACTTTCTGTATTCCTACTTAGGAATAACGTTTAAACGTCTAGAATGGAATTCAAATTCCTAACTTTTTAAAAATATAATTTCTGTGTGCTCCTTTTTTTCTTCTCATTCCAATATTTGGCTGATATTTTCCTCTACCCTACATATCAAGTACACCCCTATTTCATTTCTAAATTCATTGAACTTCCAAATCCGTAACACCTCCTTTAACGTATTTGACCAAACGTATTTCTGTGTATTTCTTTCATCACAGTAATAATTCATTTTATTCAGAACAAAGACGATTAGCAGAGATAATTACGTAACGATAATCTTGTCTTAATATTTTCCAGTCACCTAATAAAGAATTTTAAGCTTAATCAGACAAGAGAAATAAGGAAACAATACATGTTTTTAGAAATTTGTTTTCGAAACCAACGAGTGGATAGAAAAATAGAGAATTAATTGTATCTTAAAGAAACAAGTCAGAAAATGTGAACTGAACTTCCTTACTCAGAACTGACGCCCAGAATTTTTACAACGGTGTTGAACCGGAAAATTTGATAAATACCGTAAATTTCGAAACATCTTAAAAACTTGTTACGACAAACTCTAAACAATGGAGAGTATAGGTCTGCCAGATAAGGACTAGTAGATGGCGAATAATGGTGCTATGAAAGTAAAACATTCTGTTTCAGCATAGGATTCCATCAACAGTTTTAGGGATATTAGAACATAAAGACGCATTTATTCTTCAGTCTCAGAAAGATTCATAACAACAACAATAAGAATTAGAGTAAAGTAAGTGATACTAAACTTCGTACGTGCCATGGAGCGAAAACAGAAGACGAAACAATCCAGTAGTTGGAAGTGTTGTTGTGAAATCGTGTATGTTCTCCCCTCTCCACCACCGTTCTTATTACCTAACGATAGAGCGTGTGACTAGAAACCAAATAGAACCACGTGTAGAAACCCGTACGTTAGTTGATCTAAAACTAATGGCAGGCGGCAAACAGCTTTAGAGATGGCAGGAGCAGAAAGGTAATGGCTTGACCGAATAGATAAGACTGATGCTTGATAAGCGAATGTGGGCCTTCCAGAGAAACGTGTCTCTGGATGGTCTGGGACCACCGTTGGCGTCGCGCGTCATTACACTAGTTGTAATCTGAATTATATTTCAGCTGAAAATGTGCAAGACCTAACTAGTCAATTTGTTGTTGATCAGATGGTCAATAAATTACCCGTTGTTGGAAATTGTGGAAATGAATTACGGTTTTGTCAAAATACGTAGTTGGATTTGTAGAAAATCTGTGAAACATTGATTAAAAATTATGTGGATGTTAATAGTTTACAGCTTTTAGAAATTTAATTGTAAGTGGTCGAAAAGGGTTGCTTAACATATTACGTTAAGTGGTTAATTCTAAAGACGATGAAGGATAAGAACATTAAATTTTAACCACTATCTTGATAATGTCGTTGTATGAAATGGAGAATACACATACGATTTAAATAAATATAGACCTAGTTCTATATAGGTATATGTATGTATATTAGTTGTATATCAGTGAAGTATACATGGTACCAGACACACACACTGCCCTCAATACCCAGTACAGAGATTCTGCAATTGCCTGTTCAAGTTGTAATTCTTAGCAATGCGTGACATAAAGCTTTGCCTGGTATAGTCAGTGATAACAATGATTACTGTTGCATGTAAATGCAATTTCATTTTCCTTCATTTCATATTTTAATCACTGAAACTACATTTTAACGCTGTTAAAATATGGAACTAGTGAACTGTGCATAGGACTATATTAAGTACTTTATATGAATGTGCATACGTACTTAATCATTAATGCAATTATCTCTACAAACGTCAGTCCAACCGGTCAGTGTGGAACTGACAGTTGTGTTAGAGTAGTTACCAAATTTGCGAAGTCCATGTTTCGATTCTCAGCCCAAACAACAGACATTCTGATACCTCTTTCGTAGTTTTACTCAGTTCTTAAAAGAGGCATATACCACTTCCTTCAATGTGCTATCCGCCTCTCGTCGTTCATAGTATTCATATCATTCTAAGATACAGTTAACACACTGTAATTAAGTAGGCCAAGTAAACAGTTAATACATAGCAAATTCTTGTTATAGACGATCACAGTGCAGGAAGTTGAGGAGGAAAATATAAATTAGTGCATTTTGTTAAAAATTAAAGAATCCAGTGTCAGTTGCATTAAACAGGCTTACTTAACTACCTCAATATTTCTTTATTATTATATCCTAGCAAATTCATATTATTTTCTATTTCATTAGATACCACATTCATAGCAATTAATATCTTATAAAACAATAATGAAAATTTGAATATAGCTCTGTTTTGCTATGCTGCTTACACTGGTAACAAAAAAAGTCAAGAAATCTATGACGAACTTTAAAGTTACTAAAGAGAATTATATTTTCTGGCAAAGTTTCAAAACTATGTTATGAACGTCAAATAAAGTAAGTAAGATAAAGGACCATCTGAAAGAGAGTTCATGTGATGAAAAGGATTCAAGTATCATATTCGTCTTAACATATTATTAGACATTTCTGAAAGTAAATCTGTTACTGATAAATAATAGTTTTTATTAAAAATGTAATACTCTGCTCTATAATTTTGACGTAAAGTTACTATTTTCCTTTTTCATCTTGTAACGTCTTGAAAGTGAAGAAAATTTACGTATCTGAAAGTTAGAGACTACAAATGAACATTTTTTACGATCTAGGTTAAGTAACGTAAATCTGTTACCGCTATATGAACAGTCCTGCATCTTTCCACATCTCTTTTGTATTACCTCTGTCGTGGTATGTACATGTATTGTAGCTCACGTTCAGGCAGTCTCAAATTATCTGGAAGTATTTTCGATGACAAAATGTTAAGTTACGTTGGAATTAAAAAAAACTTTTCATAAACTTAAACAGTGAATATTCCTCCCACAGTTTTTTTTTGCATCACCAGATTTAACACGTCTTGAAGCATAGGAATGTAATTACAGTTACGTTAGTAGTTTACTTTCACACAAACAAGACAAAGAAATAGACAAAAATTGATAATACATTCGAAAATACAACAGCACAGATATAGAAACACCTATACTTTACGACTCATTCTAAATTCTTTCCTGAAAGATATGCCCCTCTATGATCAATTTTAACAAAAGTAGTTTTTCTTAGAAACCCATCAATTTAAATCAGAATGGAGATAGCACGCTTTAGATTTAAACCATATTTAGCATCCGCCCTATCCTCTGTTGTACCACTTCTCTGGTTCAGCTTGAAGTTACTGTAGTAAGGGGTTTTCAGGGAATCGTGTTGGCAAAAGTTTTCCTCCCACCGGATCTAATTAAATTAAAGGCGGAACCTTAATCTTGGAAAGTTTTCGGAGTAAAATGACAGGAACAGCATAGAAGGGAGGGAAATTGGGGGAAGGAGAAGTTTTTGTAGGCATTTTCAGAACCAACCTTAGTTGCTGGCTTCGAGTCTGGCGGCACATGTTTGCTGACTGGCTGAGGCTAAAACTGCTGGCTACTTTAGGCCTAAATATACTAATATATAAATGTACTAGTCTTTGTAGTAGTGCGAAGACTGTAGAGAGAAATTGCTTTTTATTTATGCAATTTAACGAAATATTTAAGCTCCTAAGCCGTAGTCTTTCATGGCCTTTTCTAATAAAGAAAGATTTTCTTGTGGATGTAAACAAATTCTCAACTTTCATTTGTCACCATATCTGTAAGCGTCATTTGATTATCA